CAATGAGGGGTAGTGGTCTCCTGCGTGGTGGGTGTAAGGATGGGGTGTGGTGAAGGGTTCATGGGAAAAGGCGATTGCTCTGACATTCCAAGGGATTGTTATCTTAGATGCTAAAGACAAAAGGCAGGCTTACTTAAGGTAAAGAGGGACCTTTGCGCCCTGGCCAATTTGGCTCAGCGGTTAGAGCGTCAGCCTGTGGTCCAGAGAGACCTGAGTTTGGTTCCCGCTAAGGGCATGTACCTTGGTTGCAGTTTGTCCCCGGCCTTGGTTGGGTCGTGCGGGTGGCAGCCACTCGATGTGTCCCTTTCACATCGATGTTTCTTTCTCTCTCTCTCCCTCCCCACTCTATCTGAATAAAAAATGAAAAAATGTCCTTGGGTGAGGATAAAAAAAAAGAAAAAAAAGAAAGAGGGACCTTTGCCAAGGACACTACAGGCCTACCTGCTGTTATTTGCTTTTAGTTAGGACTTTTGTGTTTAGACCATCCTATATGATTACTTTCGGTCACTGAGTTTGTAGGGCCCACTATGCAGGCCTCCCCTAAGCCTGTCAGGTTTTGTATGTGCCCCCTCCCCCATTTTTTGGTCTACAATTCCATTCTGGGATCTCCTTACTGCCTTTTTTTTTTTTTTAATCCACTTATGTTAAGTTTTACTCTTGTGCTATAAAGATCTCTGGGTTATGGCAAATGAATACATTCTTGTAACCACCATTATAGTATCATACACAACAGTTTCATCATTTAAAAAAACTTCCTATAGTTCACGTATTATACATTATCCTACTCCCCAGCCCTTGGCAACTACTGGTCTACTTACTGTCTCTAGTTTTGCTGTATAATGGAATCGGTCGGTATGTATATTTTTCAGATTCATCCATGTCTTTCTGTGACTTGATAGCTCATTTATTTTTATCACTGAAAAGTTTGGAAAAGATTTTTATATTCTGAAACCCATAGCACACAAATTTCCATTTGACATCTTCTTCTCACAGGTTCTCTGGGTTACAATGAAGCTTTTCCTGCCATATCTTTATTCAGCACTCAGTTATTCTCCTGTTGTTATGAGTAATTTATAACTCTTCTCCAAACCTGCATATCCTTTTCAGCAAACAAAACTGTTCTTTGCATTTTCGTCTCAACCAGTTTCTCAGACTTGACCTTCCTAGTAACACTTACATTGCAGTTCTTTATGCTCCTGGTTAACATTCCCCCTTCCCAGCATTATTATTTCACCTTTTTTTAATACAATCTTCTAAACCATGAACTGTATCTTTATTTCCGTGTACTTCAACAATGCTGTGCTTAGGCCCTAGCAGGGATTCAGAAAACATTTATTGAATGAATAAATAAATTACTTGATATAATGTATGAGTCAGATTGCAGACAGACTGACAAAACCTGAAATAAATGCTGTACTCCATCCCCTTGGGTAATAGAGTTGTTTGCTATGCATGCTTTCCTTTTTCACTATTTGAAGTCCACTTACAAAAAATGGCCTGAAATCTGAGTTATGTTCAGTTTATACAGAACATGTGTTATTTATAGAAGCACTACTAAATGGTATGCTAACAAACCTTGAAAACGCATGTCGGGTTTTCAGCATTAGCCCAGAACATCAGCATTACTACAAGCAGCTAAAATATATTGTATAACATTTATTTTCTCATAAAAAGTTGCATGGCCAAGGTGGTGGCTGATTTTTCCATACTGGGTAAATAGTTATGACTTTTCGTGATGTTCCTAGTATATCACATATGTTGCACATTTTACAGGGTTCAGAGTTCTTTTATGTATTATTTCACACTCAATTTACAACAGTTCTACAGGATAGCACACACGTGACTCTAATGACATAGATGATGCTGAATGTCAGAAAATTTTAATAGGTTTTCTGTAGTCAGAAAGCCTAGGATGTGTTGGAGCCAGGATTAGAACGTAAGTTTTCGGGTTTGAGTCTGGAAAACTCCATTCTGATATGAGTTCAAAGCATTATTACTTTTGGCCAAGAGACAATGGATGTGATAGAAACAATACTTTTGCAATTTAGGCTGTCATGGTAACAGATAGCACTTTATACTTCTCATTTTGTGACCTCTTGATAGAAAGAGATCTGATTGCTATTCTTTCTTCCGATTTTCTTAGTAACTAATTTTATTTTCTAAACTAAAATTTAAGACCTGACTTAAATATTATGATTAACACATTAAGAGGATATATCAACATGACCCATTTTATATCCCTTTTCCAATGAGGATACTTATGAATGTAATTTAATGTTAATTTCAAAACAATACATTTTATTTTTTGCAGTTTCTATAACTGAGCTTACAAAGTTGTATCCAATCAAAGAGTGGGCCATCTCCTCAAAGGCCCTTTTCTGGCAAACAAACAAACAAACAAACAAACACCCCCCCCCCCCCAAAGCACTATGTTAATAGTGAGAGACGAGAGTATTGATTCTTCCTGTCACCTTTTCCCCAGCAGAACTCAATGCACAGCTTCTAGTCAGAGGTGGTGATTTGGTCTGATCATTTGGTCTGATCATTGGTGTTGCTGCAATGGAGCATGATGCTAGAAATAGCAAGAAAATGAATGAGAAAAATGATTTTTCTATTAGTTCTTGGGTCCTTAAGACATATCCTTTTAGCCTATCTTTATCTTTTGCTCTTCTCCATATACAAGTAGGTCCTGATATCTTATTAATATTGGCCCTTTAGAGCAACTTGACAGAGTCTGTAGTCACAAGAGTATTTTTCTATTTCTCAGAACCTGGGAGAAACTCAAGAAATGGCTTTTGAGGTTGTAAGTCTACTGTGTGCAAAGTAGTCAATTATGTCCTTTTGATTTTTTTCAACATAAGTTTTTTTTTTTTAAATTAAAACAGTGAAATTAAGTGATTTGTGGCTGAAACTGTAGTGCTTGTAGAGCAGAAGGACAAACTCCAAAAGTCTGACCAGCTGCCCCACCTCCCCCAGACAAAGTAAAGACCAGATTAAACAGTGGGAGAAAGGGCACAGTCAAACCCGGGTGGTGATGGATGGCAGATTTCCAGCAAAGTACACTTTTTAAAGTGGCCACATTTCACAGTCACAAACATGTGTCCCCCTCTCCTTCAGACCCCCCCATGATTCACATTCATAGCGGAATATTTTTTACTGTCCTGAATGAGAGACATACCCATTCACTTTACCTCAGGGGACGGACCTCTTTTGACTTATTCTGGTTTCCAGGACCAGGATCAATATGCGGAAGACTGGAAATCCAAATTGTGGTAGAAGATGTTTATTCATGATAATAACTCATTATTTGCAAATTCTTCTTGAACAGTGGGTTACGTAAAATTTACAGAAGTGTTACAAGCTGCACACCCCAACTCCCACTGGGGAAACAGTGAGTCAAAACTTCAGTACCCCAACACACACAAAGCTTTAGTTCTTGGTAGAGATGATGGAAGTCACCTGGCTTGGGGGTGGGTAACAAGTGGGAAGCACAGGTTGGACTTCAGGTTAAGAATGAGCTTTGGGGGCAGGGACAGGCCAGGGGACCGATTATGAAAACCATACCTATGAGAGCAGTGCATTATCTTAAATGGGTGGAGAAAATAAGAGTGAAACTTATTTCTATGGAGAAAACAAGAAATGTTTGGGGAATTAAAATAATACAGTTGTCATTGGAAAATAGACCCCATTTAAAAAATATATTGTTTTTAAAAATATTTTGGAAAGTATTTTTAAGGCAATATTTTCTTTTTCCTTTGAAAAAGATTCCCTCTCCCCTATCCCCAACCTAAACAAGTGGAGTTGCCACCACCTAATTTATCTCTATTGTTTTGCTGAGAGGAAGATAAAACAAAAGTGAAATGGGGCTTCTTTGAGTAGGTCCATTAGAGGCTGGGACAGCGGTCCAAGGAAACTCCAGACTGAAAAGACACCTGTGACCAGAGGTCCTGGCTCTCAGACTCTCACAACAAAGGTCCTGCTGCACCTTTTCTCCTTCTGGAGCCAGCTTTCCCCATGGAGACTGAGAAGGGGATACAGTGGAGGTGGAGCATCCCAGAAACATTGCTGAAGAGGTCGTAGCTCTGGCTTCTCCAGGCATCCTGGCTTTGGGGTTGAGTGGTGGGTTCCATGCTCAGCTCCAGATTTCACCTCCAGCCAGCCCCCTCTGGTAGAAGAGGAGGCATTTCCTTTCCTCACCATCTGGTCCAACAAATATACAGCAGGCGAGAGAGACAAGTTGGAAGGACAGGGGTAAAATATGGGACCCCAAGGCAATGAAGGCAGAAAGGAGAGACCCAATAGCCAGCCCTTCCAATCCAATCAATATGAATGGAGTATCTTGCAGGCCTACCTTATCCTCAAGGTCAAATTTGTGTTGTGGCACAAGTCTCAACTCATTTTTCCCGACTGGGATTCCTACTTTATGCATGAGTTCCTGTCTTTGGTTCTAATCTCACTCTAAGAATTGAGGATGTTAATCCATTTATACTTGTAGCATCTACCACCTATGTTTACTCAAAACACATGCTTTCTAAGGATCTTTCTGCCATTTCACTGAAGAAAAAAGAGTTTTTTCTTTTCTTTTGTCTTGTCAGTCCAGATTCAACCATATTTTAAGGCACCAGTAATGGTGCCATTTTTGATTTTATGAAAGTTGCAGATATGGTAAGACAAATTTAATTTTTCTCCACAGAGCCCCATATAGCAACTGATTTTAGCGTTTTTTTAGTAACATGTATGACTGGGAAGAGCACATACAGAAAAGTAAATATTCAGGAAAAAATAACATGTTAATTTTAATCGAAACACTTCCATTGTTCCTAATAACATTTATAGTTTTGGAACCTGGTAATATTCTCAAGTAAACTCAAGGTATTGAATATACAAAATTGTAGAAACCCATTTTACATCAGTTCTCCATGTCTGTGTGAAAAGCAGATGTGTCGGATATTAAACTGTCTAGCAGCCTTGGGAAATTTCATTTTTCTTTGTCCCCTTAGGTGGCCATGTGTGTGCTACAACTGGGCAGTACGACATTCCTGCTTACGGAGCCTGTGATCAGCGCAATGACAACTGGGGCTGCCACACATGTTGTGACTTCACAAGTCAAATATCTCTTGGGAATGAAAATACCCTATATATCCGGACCACTTGGGTTATTTTATGTGAGTTTTCCATATGTCTTTGTTCATATATTTTGTTTGTGTAGTTCACAAAGTAGAATTTTTAAAATTAGAATACCGACATATTTTTATATTCATGAAACGTGGGTTTAAATATAATCTTGTAGGATATTTTAAATGTGGTTTAGGGTGTGATTTAACAAGTAATATCAATTAATTTTCAAAGCAATTCTTTATAATATACAATTGAAGGTGATATCATTTTGGAGCTTGATTAGAAAAAAATGATGATCTTTTTGTGTGAGCCAGATATGTTGCCACTTCTAATGGAAGCCATCTGCTGGGATCATGGCCGACAACAACAGTACACTCAACCACATTCTTTCAGTATTGTGAACCCTGGTATGGATCAAAGTCACAGGCCTGGTCAAAACTGATGGTTGAAGCCTCAATAGTACACAATCAGTAATTAATAGCCACTTGAACCTGAGAAAACATGTGGACATTTCAACACATCATCCTCATAATGGTCTATTGTTCTTAGTCTAATGAAAGCTCGCCTAAAATCTATGACTGTTCAGGAAGTCACATCCTATTGGAGTTTTATATAAAAATTAATGTCTTGTTAATAAACTGGAAGCCTACCAGACTTCATATTATCTAATTTTATTTTGTAGAGGAGGAAAAGAATACTTTCCTTCTACTATTCTAACTTCTCAGCTGTGGCCACTTTAACAAAAAACAGATTAACAAGAGAAAAACAAACAGAAGCTTATTAATATGTATATATGATATATACATGGGAAAAACTCAGGGATGAGTAACTCAATAGAGGTGGCTAGAACTTGGTCTTAAATACTATCTTCACCTCATGCAAAGCAAGAAGGGTGTGGGTTAAGCAAGTTACCAGAAAGTGACCAGGAAAAGTAAACAAGGGTAAAGTTGTTAGGCAGATATAAGTTGGTGCCTTCCCCACTGATGAGAGTCTCTTGTGATTTAGAGTCATCCTTTTCTTTCTAATACAGAGAAATACCGTACAAATGGAGATTTCTTTTATAAATGTAAATTTACCTTACAAAAGGGTAATTTCCACTCTGTTTTCTAAACTACTGTGTCTGCTCTTTCTCAAAATAATAAGCTTAAAATAAATTCTATGTTAAAGAGGCACATTTTGAGGGTGGCATATTCCTACAATGTAATGCTATATACTGCATTGCATATATGCAATGTATATAAATAACATTGTTTTTACAATAGTGTTCTTATTTTTAATTTTCTTGATTTCAATGGCTAAATGGTAGCTTAATATACATAGTACAATAATATGCTTATTTAAGAAAACAAGAACATTGGAACTGGTCCTGGAAGCAACATAATTCCAAGTTCTAGACCAAACAAAAGCACATCAGAATAAGACTGTTGGTGATATCAGGCCTACAAAACAGAACCAAATCAGACCAGATTGTCCCTTGACCTTCTGGCTGAGTAAGGTGTGCTCATCTGTGCATCTGTGTAGTATAAGGGAATATGAGCGGGTTACAAATTGGGCTCTGCAGATATATTCACATATATAGTAATCACACACAAATAATCACCTCTCCTTTCACTAGTTGTGTTAAAAGCAGCAGGGTATCCTGATGTGGGACTGACATTTAGTCTTTTAGTTTGCTTTTCCAGTGCATAAAATGCTGCATTAAAGTAATTTGTGTATGATATTTAAAAAACTTTGTTTTCTTGTGAGGTAAACTTCAGTCTACTTTATCTTTGTCATGCAGGTCAAACACTGCATGACTTTTGATGGTCTTTTGTAATTTCTCACTGCGAAATGGAATCAGGTTTAGAAATATTTTTAGATGGCTGACATTAAATTCACGTTATTCAACTGATGGAAGTTGCTATGCTTTTCAATGTCACAAAGCTTGCTACTGTTAGGTTGCAATGTGCTTTGGTTCTTTGCCAGGGTTTCAAAATAAATGCTGATATTTCTGTGTCAAAAATTGTGATAATCTGATCATTAGATTAAGAAATAAATTTTGCATCACACCTAGCCTATACTGGGACATTTGGCATAGAATCTGGTGATGATAATGTCAAGCTGAACTTGCTTTTGGGTCATTTAGATGAAATATGAACTAGTAGAGCTGAGCTTAGCATAAGGTATAGAACAGAGGACACAATGGTCATGAGGTCAAAGAACCTAGAGGGGAATGAATTAACACGTTGTGGGATTTCACTCTCTGCTTCTTGCTTCTGAGTTTTCACAGCTGTTACACTTCTTTTGAAAGCTACTCATGCTATAGGGAAGGAGCCCTCTGTGTCTCCACTGGTGCTGGTGGAATTGGGCATCTTGTGATATTACGAGAAAAGGAATTTTGTGAGACTTGCATGGGAGAATGAGTGGCATTTATTTGTGTGAAAATAAACCCCTGAGTTCTAAGCTTCCCTCCCACTCTGTTCTGCCATGAAAGAAGTCCAGCTATGTCCTTAGCAGAGCTAGGATTAAGGCCCTCAAACTGATAAGAAAAAAGTAATGTTGCTAATATTTCTTGGAACATAAATTAGTATCAAGAATATATGAGACTCTTGCAGTGAGCCAGTCACCACTCATAATTGTCTCAGCTGGAACACGCATGTTTCTTTTTTTTTTAAATTTTTTTTCTTTATTGATTTGAGAGAGAGAGGAAAGGAGACGAGAGATAGAGATAGAAACATCGATGAGAGAGAACATCAATTGGCTGCCTCCTGCATGCCTCCGACTGGGGATCAGACCCACAACCTGGGCATGTGCCCTGACTGGGAATCAAACTGGTGACCTCTTGGTGCATGGGTCGATGCTAATACCACATTCTGGTATTAGCAATCTTTACTACGAACTTTAAGAGAAAACACAGCCTTCCACCTGTATTCGGTTCTTAGGTCACTATAGGTTTAAGTGTCTATCTTCTGCCACAGTGATGGCTTCTGCACTGTTTTCTTTCTGGGGGATGCCTGACTCTGTGTTACCAAAATAATCCAGTTCTCTAGTTCAAATAGCTATAATCTCCATCCCATCGGTTCCTCTGAAATGACAGGTGTTCTTGCTTCAATGAAACCTTTTTAGTGAGCAATCTGAATCAGATACAGATTGTTGTATATGCTCATTTCTGCCCTCTCAGATTATAGAACAGACCTCCTATAGGTCTTAAGAAGGAGACATGGCAAAATACTTTCTTTTCCACACCTGGCATGCAGACAGAGCACACGCTACTAATGCCAGCTAAGCTTGAATGGTTAGGCCACTTTTTCGTTTCTAACTGAAAATTGTAAACCGATATCCTCCGGTGAGAGGTTCTCTCAGAAGTGTTTAGCCTGAGTAAAGCTTTCCTCTGGTCCTCAGAGTGTTTGTCCCAGAATTATGCAAAGAGAGCCACTGGAGCCCTGCCATGATCCCCATATTCCTAAGAAATTTAGGTAGAATCAGGCCTATTTCATTTTGTTGTTCTTAAGATTCAAATATTGAATAATAGTTGGTTTCCCACACTGATAAGAAGGAAAAATTTAATTCCTCTCTAAAATAAAATTAAAAAAAAATTATTAGAGTGTTTTCGCCAAAAGGCACAATAAAACTGACGAACATCCCCGGTTCATCTGAATAAATGTGAATTTCTTTGAAATGGCTCCAGCGTCTCAGCCTCTACCCGCCTATGATAAATTGGCAAAGCTAGTTCCACTGGCATGATGTCATCTGAATACTATTCTAAATAATTATGTACAGTTCTGTACATTAAACCCATGAGCACAAGGCAAGCTTGGCAATCTCTTTGAATACCGTTGTTGGATGTTTTTATTTTCTTTCTTAGAAATGAGGAGTTTTAGAACTTGAAAACAGTTTTATTCTTAACCCTATCTCTACAGGATAAGCAAAGCACTTTTCTAGTTTGAACAGTCCTGAAGAGGACAAAGCAGGAACCAAGAATGTTGATAAAAAGGGATAAAAAAGCCGGAAGGAGATCAGAGCAAATGAAACCTTTTTTTTTTTTTTTTTTAATGGATATCACAGTTATGTATGTACGAATGAGGTTTATATATGGAGAACCAATCTACTTTGAAGACATAGACCCTCGGGGATTTCTAATCAAGAATATGTGTTGGTGGTTTATTGAAAGCCCTCATTTTCTCCTGCTATTTTGATATTTCCATTGTACATTTTAGAAATGTTCAATATACTCTGAAAACTGGCAGAATAAATTAAATGGGAGAGGAACAGAAAGTTTATAAGTAGCTTGATTCAATCAATGGCTTGGATAGAAAATGTAGCAAGTTTAATCTTGATATGAAACAATTATATGATAATTTGTAACAGAGTTACTTTGAAATTCTAAATCAGAGGGCAGATAGTTTTGCAATTCAATCAACTTGGGCTAACCTCTTTCCAGCCTTCACAATTCATTGAAAAATGCAACACCACAATGTACAGTGCTCAAATAATTCAAATGAAACTTGGTTTTATAAACAAGAGATGGTTGGATGGCACCTTGACCTTGTCATGCTTGGTTGTATACTTGGTCCAAGTGTGTTTCGTGTGCCCATGTTGTCTCCAGCTGTTTAACATACCAAACTCCCCTAAATTACATTTTGGTAGGAGACTTCATTTATCCTCTAAAACAATAGTGAATGGATTTATTCTCAGGGAAGAAGCAGTATTGATCAGAAATTTGCGTATCATGATGTCAAAAATAATAGAATGCTATGTTTTTTCTTATGTTGGTGTTTTGTTTGTACTTAAGAAAACACAGCCTAGTGTTTGATTTTAGCTTATTATTTTTCTATTTGTCTGTATACTTTAGGAAGCAGAGGGGTTTTAAAAGCGATCTGAACAATAATCATTCTAAAGTGTTTAGTGATATGATACATATGCAAAAAGTAGATGAGACATCAAATTCTTAAAAACAGAATCAGTTTTAGAAGGATCAGAGATGGCTTTTGGGATCCTTGAGCAGAAATCTAGACCTTCTTGAAGGTGGGGTGTCTGGGCATCTTGTCTCATGTTTAAAGAATCCCAG